CAAACTCTAACTATTGCATTGTTTTGGGTGATTTCAATGGCCTGTGTGCAGTCCCTGACTTTGGGGGTTTTTGGAACGTCCTGTATACTATTTGCATGATTAATAATAGTAATTGAGTGCAATTAAGTATGACTTTGGCATTAACTGCACGACTTAATTCGTTTTATTGCTTATATTAATCACATATCAACTGTAATCAAAAGATATATACAATTTATAGAACTTCAATATAATTGTTAAATTTTATCACAATGCTGGGTTAAATAGCACAATTTGAAATTATTAAATTTAGAATAATTTAAAATTCATATTTTGTATCCTGATTCATGGTGATTGGCTAGTTGTATGAAGAGTGATTTTTATTGGCCATGAGGAAGAGTGAAATTACAACTCACAAAGGGTGCAATTAATTGCCAAAGATTACAGAAGATTATTGTGTGCCTCATTATATAAAATATGATGGAATTAACTCACCGTTTATTTTACTGTTGACAAAACGTTAGATAGATAAAATCAGCGTTGACTAAATGAGATGTATTTGCTTTAATTACAGCCATCTTTGATTTCAAGTTAAGTGATGGCAGTTTGGTTTGAAAATTGCAAAACATCAGGTTACACAGTAAACCTCCACCTTTCTATTGTGTTTATACTTTACAGTACAGGTGCTCATCTCCTCGGTTCATGGCGGACAAACACGTTCTCACAAGGGCTGTAAACATGAGCGCAGTTACCCGAGACCAAACGAAGCGTAAGATGATTTTAAGGCTTTAAAAAGTTCTTATGAAACCGAACAAGCACATGCGATTGTTTTGATAACTACAGACTACCAGGTTGATGTTATATACTAATTTCAATACCTCAAAATCATCTCACACTTCGTTAAATATCGGCGGAGCGGGAACAGGTAAACAGCCCCTACAGAGGAATTTTCCGGTAATGAGTATGGGTGAGTATAATGCATGAAACTGCGCGTACTTGGAAACTGTATTCGCAATTACCAAGCCGGGGACTTTTAGGTTTAAAAAATGTAAAATTTAAAAATGTTAATGCACCATTTTTAAAACTGACTGATAAAAGTTGGGTACTCTGACATGAATTGAACCTCTGAGATTACCAAACAATAATTTCGCCTACGGATTTCATGTTTCCTTCCCTTTGTTTCTCTAACTAATCATATCTATTTAATTATACTAGTATCCACTGTGAAGTATTTCTACTAAATTTTTAATATTTCGTCTCCGTCGACAACGCATCTAAACACCTGAAAAACAGAGAGAGTGACGTAAAGAGAAGAAATTTCAATCTGGATCGAACGACAAACGATCCGAATTTACAGGTTTTTCTCGCGGACATGCCCCACGTGCATTTTTCGGCAAGCCGAATTAAAACACTGGTTTGATACAAAATAACTTACCACAAAGATAATCTTCTTCATACGTTTCTCCACTCCCCACTTGAGATTGGCTCTATCAATTCAAGCTGCCCAATTTCCTCCAAGCAGTGAACTAGTTTTTCACGTGAGAAATCTTCCCGACGATTAAAAATCGATAGCATTTTTTCAGCTCGACTGCGGCCATCATGGTATTTATTACTAGTGCGAATGATATTTCTGTCTTCTACAGGTATGTCCAGAAGGCCAGCAAGATTTTCCCAATCAACAACAATGCCTCGACTTAGTCTGTACAATTCTCGAGAAGAAAGACGCATTTTAACAAACTGATTGTCCTCAGAGTCCTGAGTTTGGAATGATCGGGTTTCCACGTCCTCAGTTTGACTCTGCGCCTGGAAGAAAATCAATATTTCACAATGCCTGGAACATATTCAGTTTGTCGCATAAAGTTGACGGGTTTTTTTATGGAGATCCGTTTTTCTTATAATTTTTTTTACAACTAAGTAAAACAAGTCAACATATGGAAGATGGGCAGTTTCGCATAATTATCCGAAGCAATCATCGAAAAGATGAAGTTAAGTCCTTAGGCCCTTTAAACAAAAGTCAGGAATTAGCAGGGGCGTTCTCAGAAAGTGTTTCAGCTAGGGAATTGTAGGATCCTTAAAATGGACAGTTTGACGAACATGTTCCGATTAGATTGTAGATTACATAAATTTATAGAAAATAACCTAATAATTTATATGTTGTATATTTGGAGAGAGTGAGTGGGAAAGAGTGAGCGTTCTTACTTAAGAAGATAGAAAGGCTGTTAATATCAGGGAATTTGAGTAACGCTCAAGAGAGAGCACCGAAGCGCGCGAGCAAGAACATTTTCACGGGTAATCAACTGCATTGGAACACTATAAATATTGGGCAACTTTCTTGGCTGATACATTGATAAAAAGAACGGTCATTAATAAATAATAAGCATTAAATTACCTCGTTCTCATGCGGAAGCATTACTTCCATTAAATCTTGTCGCTTTATTTCTTTTAAGCACTTTACCAAAATATTACGATCAAAGGACTGGCTTTTATTAAAAAGTTGGAAAACTTGTTCGGATTTTGAGGAAAACTTGACGAAATTGAATCTGATTTCCTCGCGATCATAATACGGAATATCCAAGAGTCCAGCTAGGCTGTCCCAGTCCAGTCCAAGTCTACAGCTCATTCGACATATTTCAGCGTTTGTAAGCTTTGTGGTCCGACGCACGTCTACGAGATAACACAATAATTTTCCTAAACTGATCAAAATAAATTTACCCAATTATTTTTAAAATAATTAGGTAAATAGTTAATCTTGCCCAAGATGGACAGGCTTAGAGATTTCGAATGACACTGTGCCATTAGCAAAATGTTTTAAGAATATTTCAATGTTACACTATACCTTTTTGGATGGGTTCCGTTTCTGTGCAGTGTACTAAAATATAATTCATAATATTAAGTGCAATGTTATAAGAACAAAAAGGGTATTTTAAAAAGTGTATCAACATTGTTTTAGAGAATATTGCAGTTGGGAATTTTGTTGTCTTTTCAGAGGATTTGCTGACGCACGCATGCAACGCCGTAAAAAAGTCGAGCTGTTTTGACGTCTATATCGAGTAAAAGTAAATATCATTCAAGATCATATTATTGTATCGTGGTTAAACTATCCGATTTTTCAACTAAGGGTTCATTCCCACTAGGCGGAATTTTCTGCGCGCTTCCATGCAGCACTAATGTAAGAAAAACAAAGATTCCACCTAGTGGAAAAAAGGCGCAATAGTAGAAAAAAGGTGATCTTATTGGACCACAGTTAATAGAATGTACATGGTTTGGAGACTAAATAAAAGTACAATACAACTCATTAACTATGTTATTGTCCACGTTTATGCAAAAAATGGTTCCTTTCTCGTCACGTGTCTATTGTATTTTAGCCAAACGTACCAATGGCATTCGTCTTGCTAAGCTCATCAACCTTGACTTGAAAAATATGTTAATTATAAGATTGCTATTGGTTTATCTGTGCAAAATACAATAGACATGTGATGCAAAAGGAACAATTTTTTGCATAAATGTGCCTCAACATAGTTAATGAGTTGTATTGTAGTATTATATGGTCTCCAAACCATGTATATTCTATTAACTGTGATTGAACGAATTCGTACATCACGCGTCGAGGCACGACAAATTCCAAGAAACTTTTCATCACTCGAACATAAAATCCATATCTTCTTCTATAATCCCCCGAGCCGGTGCGGAGCACCGTGAGAGGATACTAATTCTGCCCGGAGATTAGGAGTTACACCCAGGTATTGTGACAGAACAAATCTAATTTGTGCTGTTTTTATGTTTTGAAGATTTAGCTATAGTGAATTAGTGTGTGTATTAACTCGAACATGCAGCTAATGACTAAATGCAGCCGGAATACTGGTGATTTTACTTCACCTTTACTATTGTGTTTGTTTTCGAAAAATTTGAAACATCAGCTATGCGTATGGCTTATTTAAGTCATTTCATGATATAAGCTTAGAGGGAAAAGTCTGGCTAGCTAAGGAAATATTTTGCTTTTTTTAAAATGGCGAAGGGATACTGCCTGGATGTATTTCTAGCATACGTACTGCAGCGCCCGGTTAAGATAAATGAAAACTTGTATTTATCTTATTTCATACAAATTAAAACCTGACTGTTGGGCTTCCTATCATTAAAGTATTACCATTTAAGATGATGTTTCACGCAAGAATCTGCATGATTGAATCAACGTCAATTTGTCAAAACTTCTTCCCACAAAACAAATTACAAACTGCCAAATATCGCTGCATGTACTCTTCTATAGCGATAAAGTTTGCACTACATTGTTCAGATTATATTGAAAAACCTACCATCAGTTTCTTCCTCTTTCGTCTCCTGCGCAATCTCAGATACAATCAACTTCCACAACAATGTATTTTGACTTTCTTCGCGTATTTCAACATTTCCATTTGCCGGACTCGCTAATTCAGCAAAACAGTTGATCGCATAACCATCTGAATCCAGTTGAGCCTGGTTAATCTCAAAAGAATGACAGATTTTGACTTCGGTGAAATTTAAACTTATTTCATAACGACGATCAGTGTTAACACAGGCCAGCTTTCCTTTCTCCCCTGTACGATAACCACCTTCAAAGTGATCTTTCAACTGTTTAATATTGTCTTCGTTATTGTCATCAACAAACTCGCTCACGAGGACAACAGCGATATCCACAGTTCCCTTGGAACTAATTCTGCGATACAAGACATAGGCTCGGCAGACAAACGAGTAATTCAGGTGACATAAGATTCGAGCCAACATTCCACGCATCGCCAAAATGAAACTGTAGAGAGAGAAGCCGTTGATTTTTAGACTCGAAACCCCTTCAACATCGTCTCTCTCGATACTATTGCTCACAACTTCCCACGTGATCTTTTGGTAATTGTCATGGTAGGAACCATGTAGGATGAAAAGTTCCGTATCTGAGACAGGTATTTCGAGTTTGATCATAAGAACCGCTGGTTTTAAAAATTTCAAGCGGTTCGGGAGGAATTCAACAACACGAGGGATAACTTTAACAAGACCTAAGTCAAGCAATGACTCTGTGGGAAAATCTTCCGGGGTTTTATTAATCAAAGTAATTTGTGTATCTCCCAGGAGACACTCGGCTCCCAACTTAAGTATGACGTCGTCGAATTGAATAGTACCTCCGCTTGGACCAACTGAAACTGAAAATATCAAAAGTTCAATAAAAAGCCACTTTTAATTACCACAAAATACAAGGCCACAGACACAGTAGAACGCACGATTTCTACAATAACTTAATAAAAGCAATTATATTAGAGCTCGTGATTTCTACGAGGGCAAAGTCCAAATTAATGCTGATTGGTTGATTAGCGGTCTGGAAAAAGTCATCTTGCCCTCTCAAAAATTTATCTTGCGCGCTTGGAAAAAGTTTAATTGTGCAAATAAAATTTAAACAAAAACTAATAATAAAAGATTATCATGCCGTAAAGTGACAACGAAGAACACTCCCCGAGTGAGTTTTTTATCCTGGAGAAACAAATGACCAAATGCTACATTTTAAGGCGAAGACATAAACCGCCAATAAAAAGACAGTCAAAAGGTGTAGCAGCAAAAGGTTACAAAATATTAATTAAAAAATCGTTAGATAATTTTAACAAAGCCATATAACTCGCTCCTTCATCGCTCGGTCTGTACGAAAATCAAAAACCTCAAGCAATACATTCCCGTACAAACCTCGCACTCGGTTAAAAGGTTTTACATCTTCAGTGAACAAGATCAGAAAAAAAAACACTCCGGCCGATAAGCGTAAGGAGTATGTCCGTTTTAATGTGATGCATGCAATCATGTAAGGAGTTCAGTCGTCTATTTATCTTTTTTTCGACACTTTCTTCAAAATAGCTTTTATTGACATGCACTATCCGCATAAATTTTTTCGTAAAATCTACAGAAATCAAATAAAATTATTTTTAAAAATCCTAAAAATCATAATAATTGTTGAAAAAATAAGAAATTATACGGATCTGCCAGCTGTTTTGAAATACAGTTATGCATGAAACGTTTACACATGCATGCACACTAAAAACTTTTTGGATAAAAACGATACCGGTTTCGCCAGTATCGTTAGGTGGGAAAAAACAATCAATTTCAATGATGAATAATGAAATAAATTATGTGGGACGGGCGATCATCCAGCGCCCAAGATGCCCTATACCCCTCCCACTTATCGAGCGGGCTACACAACTGATACGATCGAAGCATTTTAAGTACTAAATTCTACATACCCCTTGTTTTCAACAGTACGTCAATCATTTTGTTATCACCTTGTTCCTTAGCAATATGTAACACAGTTTCTCCTTCGTCGTTTTTCCTGCTTATGCTGGCTCCTGCTTTAACAAGTTTCTCGGCGATGACCAAATTACATCTCTCGACGGAAAAATACAAGGCAGAGTTTCCCTTATCGTCAATTTCATTTACATTAACCTTATTTTCTAACAGCAAATCAATCAGTTTTTCATCATTAAGTTGGGCAGCAATATGTAAGACTGTTCTCCCTTTGTCATCCTTCCTTTCTACGTTTGCCCCAGCTTTAATAAGTTTCTTGACGATGGCGATTTTGCCTTCCCTGGCGGCATAATGAAGGGCAGAATTTCCTTTAAAGTCAATATCATTCACATTTACGTTTTTTGCCAACAGCTTATCAATCAGAGTTTCATCACCCATTTCTGTAGCAAGGTGTACAGCTGTTTGTCCTTCAGCACATTTCTCGTCTACCCTGGCTCCTGCTTTGATAAGTTTCTCAACAATGACGAAATTGTTCCTTCTGACGGCATAATAGAGGGCAGAGTTTTTAGCATCATCGACATCGTTAACATTTGCTTTACTTCTCAACAGGAGATCAATCAGTTTTTTATCACCCTTTTCTGCAGCAAGGTGTAAAACTGTTTTCCCTTCAGCACATTTCTCGTTTACTCTGGCTCCTGCTTTGATAAGTTTCTCGGCGATGGCGAAATTGTTCCCTCTGACGGCATAATAGAGGGCAGAGTTTTCAGCATCATCGACATCGTTAACATTTGCGTTACTTCTCAACAGGAGATCAATCAGTTTTTTATTATCCTTTTCTGCAGCAAGGTGTAAAGCTGTTTTTCCTTCAGCACTTTTCTCGCCTACCCTGGCTCCTGCTTTGATAAGTTTCTCGGCGATGGCGAAATCATTCCTTCTGACGGCATAATAGAGGGCAGAGTTTTCAGCATCATCGACATCGTTCACCTTTGCGTTACTTGTCAACAGCAGATTAATCAGTTTTTCATCACCGTTTTCTGCAGCAAGGTGTAAAACTGTTTTCCCTTCAGCACATTTCTCGTTTACTCTGGCTCCTGCTTTGATAAGTTTCTCGGCGATGGCGAAATTGTTCCTTCTGACTGCATAATAGAGGGCAGAGTTTTTAGCATCATCGACATCGTTAACATTTGCTTTACTTCTCAACAGGAGATCAATCAGTTTTTTCACCCTTTTCTGCAGCAAGGTGTAAAACTGTTTTCCCTTCAGCACATTTCTCGTTTACTCTGGCTCCTGCTTTGATAAGTTTCTCGGCGATGGTAAACATGTTCTTTCTGACAGCATAAGATAAGACAGAGTTTCCTTTACTGTCGATATCGTTCACATTTGCGTTACTTGCCAACTGGAGATCAATCAGTTTTTCATCACCCTTTTCCGCAGCAAGGTGTAAAACTGTTTTCCCTTCAGCACATTTTTCGTCTACCCTGGCTCCTGCTTCAATAAGTTTCTCGGCGATGGCGAAATTGTTCCTTCTGACGGCATAATAGAGGGCAGAGTTTTTAGCATCATCGACATCGTTAACATTTGCTTTACTTCTCAACAGGAGATCAATCAGTTTTTTATCACCCTTTTCTGCAGCAAGGTGTAAAACTGTTTTCCCTTCAGCACATTTCTCGTTTACTCTGGCTCCTGCTTTGATAAGTTTCTCGGCGATGGTAAACATGTTCTTTCTGACAGCATAAGATAAGACAGAGTTTCCTTTACTGTCGATATCGTTCACATTTGCGTTACTTGCCAACTGGAGATCAATCAGTTTTTCATCACCCTTTTCCGCAGCAAGGTGTAAAACTGTTTTCCCTTCAGCACATTTTTCGTCTACCCTGGCTCCTGCTTCAATAAGTTTCTCGGCGATGGCGAAATTGTTCCTTCTGACGGCATAATAGAGGGCAGAGTTTTCAGCATCATCGACATCGTTCACATTTGCGTTACTTGTCAACAGGAGATCAATCAGTTTTTCATCACCCTTTTCTGTAGCAAGGTGTAAAACGGTTTTCCCTTCAGCACATTTCTTGTCTACCCTGGCTCCTGCTTTGATAAATTTTTTGACGATGGTTAACATGTTCCCTCTGACAGCATAAGATAAGACAGAGTTTCCTTCACTGTCGATATCGTTTACATTTGCGTTACTTGCCAACAGCAGATCAATCAGTTTTTCATCACCCTTTTCCGCAGCAAGGTGTAAAACTGTTTTCCCTTCAGCACATTTCTCGTCTACCCTGGCTCCTGCTTCAATAAGTTTCTCGGCGATGGCTAACTTGTTCAAGCTGACGGCATAATAGAGGGCAGAGTTTTCAACATCATCGACGTCGTTTACAGACACTTTTGCCTTATTTCTCAACAACAGATCAGTCAGTTTTTCATCACTATTATTTTCTGCAGCAAGATGTAAAACTGTTTTCCCTTCGTCATTTTTTCCGTCTGCAGTCGCCCCAGCTTTAATAAGTTTCTCGGCAATGGCATCATTTCCTCCCCGGACAGCGTAAAACAGCACGGAGTTTCCTTCTTTGTCGGTTTCTTCCACTTTATTTGCGTTGTTCTTGAACAACAAGTCAAAAAGGTTTTTATCACCATTATATGCTGCAAGGTGTAAAACTGTTCCCCCTTCGTTATCCTTTCCTTCAATGCTGGCTCCAGCTTTGACAAGTTTTTCGGCGATTGCAACATTGCGCATCTTTACAGCGTAATACACACCAGAGTTTGATTCATTATCAAGAATGTTCAAGTTTGCTTTGCTGCTAACAAGTAAATTAGTCAGCTTTTCTTCGCTACGTTTGGCTGCATGATGTACAACTGTTTTCCCATTTGCATCTTCCAAGTCCACACTAGCACCAGCTTCAAGAAGTTTCTCGGCGGCCTCAATGTTACCATGCTGGAAAGCATAATGTAGAGGAGTCTTTCCCGAATCATCGCGATCGTTCATGTCCATGTCTTGGCTTAACAGCAGGTTGAGCACATTTTGCTTAGAATATATCACTGAATGGTGTAGCATTGTCCGAGAATGCGTATCTTTCAGGTAGAAATTTTTAGTTATTGGGGCAACAGATGTGTGAACAAGTTTTTCTTTTCTTTGTTTTTCTAATAGAACATCAAGAATTGTCAATGCGGATTCAACATTCGAACGTTCAAGTGCATAATCCAACGCAGTTTTCCCAATTTTATCCCTAGCATTCATGTCAACACCAGTTTCGAGAAGTACAAGTAATGCTTCAGGGCTCGCAAAAGATGCGGCTTTGTGTAGTATGTTTCTTCCTTCATCGTCCGCGGTATTGATGTCTCTCGTTATCTTTAGCGAGCTTTTCACCTTTTTCGCTTTTTTTCTTCTATGATGTTTCAAAAGACACTCCATGGCGTTTGTTCCACCATATTTCAAAGCATATTCAAGAGGCGTTTTACCATATGCGTCCATGACATAAATATCCGCGCCATTTTGGAATAATACTTCAACGTTATAGTCGTCGTAGTACGTACTCATGGCAGCATAATGCAGTGGAGTTCGATCTTCACTGTCTTGGGCATCTATGGCTTTTGACTCACTAAAACAACACAGTAAACGGTTAACGATAAAGCAATAAGCATAAGGTGAATCTGTCAAGCTTTCCTTTCGAATAGAGGGATCCGTAGGTATGCACGCAAGGTGTAGAACGTTCCTGCCATCACAATCCTGTGCGTTGAAACTGAAAAGGGAGAGATCACGGAGATGTGCTAGCAAATACTCGTTTCTGACTACTGCGGCATAATGCGAGATCGTTCTTCCGTGTTCATCACTTCTCTCTAATTCACGTTTATATGTCAAATCATGCTCAAAGTTAATATTTCTGTAGCTCCAATTTTGGGCTAATTCAATAAGCCTTTCTGTTTCGCCATCCAACTTTTCGATGCTTTCCAATGTCTCGAGGTACTTGAAAAAGAAAATAAGAATTCTCCTGAGACATCATAAAAAGTTCTGGGATTTTTAGGTGGGAAAAAATACGATAATGATTATTGTTGCCGTACGTAGGCAACATCCTTTTATAGTGTTATTGTATTGCCCAGTTTCTTTGACCGAGTTATAACTATTCTAAGTGGAATCTCAATTTTCGATTTGTTTGCATTCAGGTGAAGGGGGGGGGGGCAATCATATCCAAATTATTTACTTTACCTCACGTCACGCTGGGCTCAACCATTGCATGTCTACGGTAAGTTTAGTCATTTTTAAGCATTGTTAAGTTTAAATTATGACCTTGCTGGCTTGTGCAAGTATTCATCAGGGCATCAGGGCCACGAACTATTTAATGAACGATCACGAGGGAAACAATGCTCGTTTATGTGTTTATCAGCGCTTTTAGCTGCTCAAACTCTGCCCGTTTGTCAGAGGAACTCGATTACAAATTTACAATAGAGAGTCCTATGAGAAACAAGATGATGAAACACTTTAGTATATAATCTGCTATTGGCACGAGATCAAAGATTTGATGTTTTTGCATGGGTGCATCTATGATAGGTTTGATGTAGATGTTGAACAGTACGTCAAATTCACACCACAATTGCAAGAACGTCAGTTGAGGAATTCCGGGGCAATGAATTTCGCGCTACCAAAAACAAAAACCAAACAGTTCGAACACAGCTATTTCATCAGAACGTGTAGGTTATGGAACAGTTTACCAACCTCAGTAAAGGAAGTAAAATCACCACGTATTTTTAAGAATCTTTTGAAGCAAAAGTATTTCTTGGGTGTGCGTCATGTATTTGATGTGGATGTCTTTTGTACGTGGCGTTCTATTTGTCTTAAATGTAACTCTATACGTAATCTTTCTTCAGATAACCTCAGACTATGTTGTTAATCGTCTGAATCCACGTTTGTATTGTGTGTATATCTTGTCCAAATTTGTAAATAGTTATATATGTTAACCTTGTAGCTATTGGGAGAATGCCTTGGTTAGGGTTGTGCTCTGTCGCAATCTCCCTTGTTGTCAAGTGTAATATTTAGACTTCACAACTGAAATAAAGTATATAAACTAAATATATCTATGGAAGGACCGTCAAGGTTCAATTATTACAAATGAACATGAAGTTAGAGCACCCTATGTTAACTTTGGTACAGCTTTGATGAATACTTTTATACAAAGTAAGGATGCCATTTTGATATTAGATGGGTATATGATGGCCTTAATGCATAATATATTAAATTCCTTTTTCCATTTTTTTTATCCTCATGCCAGAAATTCATGTGGTATATCAGAGCGTAATGGTACTTCTGTTGTTTTTCAATTTAGTAGTAGGAATGACTAAAACAGAATTTATGCAATATTATTCTTGTAGGTTTACATGGTGAATCAATAACTAATTTAGCTTGTAGGCACATCACTTAAGTATTTAACACAGGAAAGCTTTCGGTCCGGTAACAACCAGTTGTCCCCCCGACAAAAAAGTGCAAGCGATTGGCCATTGCGCATTGCTTATTACGCATGTTCAGCAAGCGACCAGAGGCATTCATCAGAAATAATATTTCAAAACGGAGAAATAATACCCCCCCCCAGAAATAATATTTCAAAACGGAGCCGAACTGTTTGAAGTGAAAAACTGCTCGATGTGTTCAAGAAAGCGGAATATAACAGGGCTTGAGGTCTGTTTACCAGTGATAGATGATATTCCCAAGTGCTCTGATGTTCAGGTATGTAGATGACGCGTGGTTTGATCCACCTACGACGCGGAACAGCATCGACACTTAAATAAATAAACTACACCAGATCTCAGGTACCTAGAGACTTTATCTTTTTTATTTGTTATGTCCATGCAGTATACATTCTCACTTAAAGGCTTCCGGACACTCAGCTAGCTTTGACGAATTTAGAATCCTCTCTTCCTCATCTGACTCTTATGAGCTAATGATACATGAGAGTCTCCTCGTCACCAAACTTAAGCCTTCTCTTAATGTTCAAGGCAACTCTATCCCTCTCAATATATTTTAGTCCTTAGCTACTTCGTATTGTCATGGTGTCGTGACGTCTCTGTCCCTTGTCCTCTCATGTACTGTTTGTCCTCACTTTGTCCTTGTTATCACCCTTTGTAAATTGATACCTTGTAAATATATTACTAGTCTGCATATTCAAATTATCATGTAATTTATCATTTAGTCTGAAGATAGACGAAACGTTACTATCAAATATATTTTTATTACTCTCAAATGGTCTTTTATGGCTTTACTGAAAGCACTATGTTGGGCTTTAATATTAATTTATATTTCGAATACGCTTCCCGCCCGGCACATCTCTGGCAACAGTATTGAATTTACTTAGTATTTATGCACTTTGTCAAGTAATTTAAATACTTATTTATTCAAAATTCTCCCTGTCCAAATAAGAGAAATCAGCATTGAATGCTATTAAATCCCCCATATAGAGTTAAAAAAGCCAGAGCATATATCGGGCAAAAACATTGTAAAGAAAGGGCTTCGACATATCAAGAGAACCAAATAGCAACAGAGACTCGATGTGAAAGGTAATTTATAGTGGAAAATGCTAAAAACTACATGAAAAGAAAACAAGGTAGCACTTTTATTAAAAACCATGCATGTTAGATGTGAAGATAAAAATAAGAAACGAAAATGTTCAGACATAGTTAGCAAGAATGATTATTACTTGATCGTAAGAGTTTGACATAAAAAATGGTAGAATACATGAACAAACTTCGGCGGCAAAATCCAACATTCATAGATTTTATAAATCCTTTATATATTTCATTACTCAATGCACAATTGTTTTTCAAAAAGGATGGCCATTAAAAACTTAACCTAAATCACCTAATATTTATGTATGTTGTGCTGTTCTCACAAAAGTTCTCATGTCAAAATTCAACGATTCCTTCACCTGCCCCGCATGAATTACAATTAAGTCTAGTTGAAGAAATGTTGATTGCTCGTGCAATCCCTATTATGGAGTATATATTAAACATGGGCAAAGAGGTTACTCGGGTCATTGTATTAAAAACATTCCACGAACTCTTTTTGTTGTTGATATTGTTTTGTTACTTGTTTCGTTTTTAATAATTTTTTTCTTGTGTTTAATTCATCAACTTCAAAACATACCATAACTAAAGTACGAAGACTATTAAAAGTTCCTTTTTAACTCAAGCGAATTACTATATAGTAAAACTATATAGGCTAACAGCGAGTTAATTGCCTAGGAAAATGCTTTTCGAACATGTTTGTTTGTTAGCTAATCGCATCGCCGAAGTTTTGTTTTACGCGTTTTTTCAAACATTTTTGAGAATTTTTAAACATTCAACAATTTCGCCGAGTGGAAAAAACGTTGAGTGAATAACATGCTTTCTAAATTGTAAAAGCCAATGAAATAATGCACTAGTTCGTGAATCAAAACCACTATATCAGGCGACTTGCATCCCGCA